AGCCTGGCTTGGGGGTCCCAGCCATGTAAGCAGGAGCCTCGGGCTGCACACGCACCGATTCTCCCAGCTTTCCCCGGCCCGGGGGTCCCAGCATGCAGGTGGGAACTCGGGCCACACACACACACCACACACACACACACACAACCCCCTCGGGCTTCTCTCTCTCTCTCTCTCTCCCCCCCAGCCCGGGATCCCAGCCATGCAGGGCGGGAACTGGGGGGCTACACACACACACACACACACCACACACACACCACACCTCGGGCTTCTCTCTCTCTCTCTCTCTCTCCCCCAGCCCGGCGGTCCCAGCCATGGCAGGGCGGTGAACTGGGGCTACACCGACACACACACACACCACGACACAATCAACACACACCACACACACACCCTCGGCTTCTCTCTCTCTCTCCCCCCCAGCCCGGGCCCCAGCCATGCAGGCGGGAACTGGGCTTACACACACACACACACAGGGCGGGAAACTGGGGGCTACACACCACACACGCACACACACACACACACACACGATTCCCCAGCTCCCCAGCCTGCGAGGTCCCAGCGGTGCTTGGCCTCAGGGGGTTGCTGGACTGACACGGTCGTCTGTGACTTCAAGATTGGCAGTCATTCTTGCATTCCCTTAACCAACCCGCTGTATTTTGTGCTTAGCCGTTGCGTGTGCAGCCCGAGCTCCTGCTTACATGGCTGGGACCCCCAAGCCAGGCCCTCAGTGCTGCTTCGCCCCTCCCTGAGTTCCAATGTCAATAAACTCAGCCACGTTTACCCAGAGGCCACAGGGGCCCTCTCCAGGTCTGCCTGGGGCTTCCTGCCTCTGAGCACTCACCCAGCGAGAGGGCCGAGAGGGCTGTGGCCACACTGAGAGGAGACAGGAGCACGTTGGTCGTGGGGCTCATGCTGGACCGAACCCGGTACAGGTCATAGCCGAAGTTGGAGACAGCCGCTGCCAGCTTGTTCACCGGGACTTTGAAGAAAGGATCCTCCTCCTCCACCAGCGCTCCTGTGCTGTCGGGGTCTGGGGAGCCCTGGCAGGAGACAGAAAGTCTTGGGTTTGAGTTCAGGGACCCGCGGAGACGCACAGCGACCGACTGTCTCCGTGTGGCTTCGTGTAGGGTGGTGGTTCTGGCCCCTTGGGGCTGTCCTTCCTAATTTTTTTGTGTTTGGCCTAAAACTGGAATGAGTTTTCCTCCCTGATCATGCATGAGCTCTCTGCGGGGAGACGGCGCAGAAGAGAAATTTGCTGGTTTTTTTATTTGAGACAGAGTCTCACTCTATCGCCCAGGCTGGAGGGCAGTGGAGCGAGCTGGGCTCACTGCAAGCTCCGCCTCCCGGGTTCAAGCGATTCTCCTGCCTTAGCCTCCCAGTTGGCTGGGATTATATGCATGCGCCACCGTGCCCAGCCGGCTGACAGTTTTTAAAAAGTGGGTCACAGGGGCCGGGCGCGGTGGCTCACGCCTGTAATCCCAGCACTTTGGGAGGCCGAGGTGGGCGGATCACGAGGTCAGATCGAGACCATCCTGGCTAACACGGTGAAACCCCGTCTCTACTAAAAATACAAAAAATTAGCCAGGCGTGGTGGCGGGCGCCTGTAGTCCCAGCTGCTCAGGAGGCTGAGGCAGGAGAATGGCATGAACCCGGGAGGCAGAGCTTGCAGTGAGCTGAGATCACGCCACTGCACTCCAGCCTGGGCGACAGAGCAAGACTCCGTCTCAAAAAAAAAAAAAAAAACTGTCAGCCAAATGGCTCAGACCTATAATCCCAGCACTTTGAGAGGCTGAGGTAGGTGAATCACTTGAGGTCAGGAGTTCAAGACCATCCTGGGCAACACGGTGAAACCCGTCTCTACTAAGAATACAAAAAAATTAACTGGTCATGGTGGCGGGCGCCTGTAATCCCAGCTACTTGGGAGGCTGAGGAATGAGAATCGCTTGAACCTGGGAGGCAGAGGTTGCAGTGAGCTGAGATCGTGCCACTGTACTCTAGCCTGGGTGACAGAGTGAGACCCTGTCTCAAAAAATAAATAAATATAAAAATAAAAATTGGGAGCCAGTTGCGATGGCTCATGCCTGTAATCCCAGCCCTTTGGGAGGCCGAGGAAGACTGATCACTTGACCTCAGGAGTTTGAGACCAGCCTGAGCAACATGGTGAGGCCCCATCTCTACTAAAAAATACCCAAAAAATTAGCAGGGCGCGGTGGCACGTGCCTGTGGTCCCAGCTACTTGGGAGGCTGAGGCATGAGAATTGGTTGAACCCAGGAGGCCAAAGTTGCAGTGAGCCAAGATTGTACCATTGTACTCCAGCTTGGGTGGTGGAGTGAGTGAGACTCTGTCTCTAAAACAAGAAAGTTAGAAAAAAGAACTGAGTTTTTCTTTTTTCTTTTTTTTTGAGACGGAGTCTCACTGTGTCGCCCAGGCTGGAGTGCAGTGGCACAATCTCCGCTCACTGCAAGCTCCGCCTCCCGGGTTCACGCCATTCTCCTGCCTCAGCCTCCCGAGTAGCTGGGGACTAACAGGCGCCGCCACCATGCCAGGCTAATTTTTTGTATTTTTAGTAGAGACGGGGTTTCACCGTGTTAGTCAGGATGGTCTCGATCTCCCGACCTCGTGATCCGCCCGCCTCGGCCTCCCAAAGTGCTGGGATTACAGGCGTGAGCCAATGCACCGGCCCCTCACTGCAGTCTTAATCTCCTGGGCTCAAGTGATCCTCCCACCTCAGATTCTCAAGTAGGTAGTACCAGAGGCACGTGCCACCACGCCTGGTAATTTTTGCTTTTTTGTAGAGACAGGGATCTCACTATGTTGCCCATGCTGGTCTCAAACTCCTGGACTCAGTCCTCCTGCTCGGTCTCCCACGCTGCTGGGATGACAGGCGTGAGCCACTGTGCCCAGAACTGAGTCTTTTTTATTTGCGCCCATTGCCAGCACCTGTCGAGTAGGTGTTTGGTAGATGAGAAATGAATGGGTGGCCACATGCCCTGTAGAATGAATATTTTTATCCCATTTCATAGGCAGGGAAGCAGAGACCGAGGTAAGGGTTGTCTAGTTGAAGGCCAGGAGTTCAAGACCAGCGTGCAACATGGAGAAACGCGCGTCTCTACTGAAAAATACAAAGATTAGCCGGGTGTGAGGCACATGCCTGTAATTCCAGCTACTCGGGAGGCTGAGCAGGAGGATCAGTTGAACCTGGGAGGCAGAGGTTGCAGTGAGCTGAGATGGTGCCCTTGCCCTACTCTAGCCTGGGCGACAGAGTGAGACTCTGTCTCAAAAAAACAATAAAAAACTGTTTTTTTTTTTTTGAGACGGAGTTTCACTCTTGTTGCCCAGGCTTGAGTGCAAGTATTGGCGATCTCGGCTCACTGCAAACCTCCGCCTCCCAGGTTCACGCCATTCTCCTGCCTCAGCCTCCGGAGTAGCTGGGAATTTACAGTCATCGCCACCCACGCCCAGCTCATTTGTATTTTTTAGTAGAGACAGGGTTTCTCCATGTTGGTCAGGCTGGTCTTGAACTCCCGGATCTCAAGTGGATTCGCCCGCCTTGGCCTCCAAAGTGCTGGGATGACAGGCGTGAGCCATCGTGCCCGGCCGTTACCTTTTTCTCGTTACCTTGTCTTCCTAGTGGGGGCTCCATGAGCAGGCATGTTCCCACACATCTGGTTCGGT